TTTTCATCTTCTAGACGTCACTAAATAGTGACTTCCGCGATAGAAAATGCTTGCAGGGGTATAGCACATGTCGGTACCTTTAGTAGTGTAGAACTTACAAACTAACGAAATTTAGCTATTTTTAGCTTTTTCCCGCTAAAGTAGCGGCTTTTTCCAAAAGTCGTAGAACAAAAGATTCCTATATGGAACTCTTAAGTGCAAATTTACTGATTCCATGACCCTAAAATACAGTTCGGATACCCTCCCACAAAATTCAATACTCAGGGAGCGTTAATTGTTCGAGCTGGCAAAAGTGGCTATTTTCGTATAAAAATAACTTTTAAACGTGACTTTTTACAGTAATGTGTTATATACCAAAATTTAAGGAATCTCAAGGGCTATACAGTTTAAGGTTTTAAAGAAAATCGATAGAGCCGTTTTTGAGAAAAATAAAAAAAACTAAAAAAAAAGTTTTAAAAAATTGTCTTTTGTTCATATTTTTTTAATTATTACATTTACACAAATTGCATATAGAAGGCATTTATAGCATTTAAAAGTACCTTTCAAACGAGATGCAGCACAAGTCTGTAGCTTTAGTACACTCAAAATAAATTTAACCCTAAATTTTAGAAAATCGCCATTAAAATTTCTTTTTTCTAAATACAAGAAAGTTATTTCTAAATCTAAGGAAATTTTTCTTAAGTCAAGAAAGTTTTCCTTAAATCCAGGAAGTTTTTCTTAAATGTAGAAAATGGTTACTATGAACTAAAATCACCCTAAAATCTAGAAAAAATGCCCTTAAAATTAGAAATTATTTTCTGAAAAATAGAAAGGCAAACGAAAATAATAAAATATTTTGGCAACACCTTTTCTAAAAATTAGTGCCCTAACCCTAAAATGAAACCAACCCTAAATAATAGAAACATTTTCTAAAAAGTAGAAAGTTTTTCTAAAAAATAGAAATAGTTGTTTTCACATGCTCTGGCACACCAAAATGTTCAATGCCAGAACTTGTCAGCTGCCGGGCGGCTGTACTCGTAGCGCAGACGGTTAAAGCGCTTGGTTAGAAATCGAATCGACCCTGTTTCGAGTCCCAGAGCAAACTATTTTTTACCTTTTTTTTTATTATTTTTTTTAGGTTTTTTTTAAATTTGTTTTTTTACTCTTTTTTTATTCCTTTTTTTTATTGATGGCAAGCGGTAAACCGAAAATAATTTGGTTTTTATTTAACTATTTACTATATACTACACATAATATAAATTGCGATAGCATAAATATATACATAAGTATATATGTCTGTAAATAAGTAAAACGCGAATGGTCAAAATTATGCAATTAGTATTCAAATGTATTCTCCGCTTGACCCTTTACATACAATGCTCGGTTTGCCACAGCAAATTTAAGTGCTACAATGGCCCAGTATGTAGGCCGTTCGCTCCTCGCGCGGGAGACCCGGGTTCGATTCTCACCGACGGACAAGTAAAAATGTAAGTTTTTTTCATGAAGATAAAATATTAACTAATCATAATTTCTACATTCCCAATCTTCCGCAGTCCCGTAGTCCACATTTACAACAACATTTGGCTTTGGTTAGATAAGAAATCCAAGCGCAAATACATAATAATATATACATAACCTTTAACATTCACAATATACAAGACACACAACGCCTGCATATGTATATAGGGAGGAGTACATAATATAAACGTATATACAAAAAAATCATGATTGAACATGTTTTTTTGTTTTGTTTTTAATTTCTAATTTTTAGGAAAATTTCCTACTTTTTAGAAATTTTTGCCCTTAAATTTAGTAAAATTACACTAAAATTTAGAAATATGACGTCAAAAAAAATCAAAAATATAGAAAAATGTGACCCTAAAATTTAGGGCGAGCTTGTCTTGAAGACAAAAGTAGGGCGATTTCCTTGACTTTAGGGTTAATTTTATTTTGAGTGTAGTATATATGTTACGGATTTCCGAATTTTAGCTATTTATAGCTGTTTTCCCGCTAAACTAACGAGTTTTTCCAAAAGTGGTAGAACAAAAGTTTTTCATATTGATGTGATGAACGTCATATCAAATTTTCAAAACTTAAAAAACATGTTTTGGACAAACTGACAAACTGACAAACAGAATTAAATTTTCATTTTGGGAAGACGAAGAAAATCTTATTTTGGCTATAACTTTTGAACGGAGCGTCGGATTTTGACAAATGACCCCTCATTCGACGGGTATTTTCAAAAGGAATTTATCCCCACCGGCCCCAACAGCTCCAAATTTCGAAATTTACACTTTTTCACTTTCACCGCTCTCTCTCCCAAGCCAATTAATTTTCTTAGAGTCTTGGTATGCAATCCTGTTAGTTTTCGCAATACCTTTCGATAGGTGTATCATTCATTATGATCGGACCATCACAGTAGATTTTCATTTTTTCGTGTATATATAGTAGTCGCCTTCGCACACTCTCCTGGTGCGCTTCGTCACTACATGGACTGCCGTCCATAGTGATAATACAGTAAAAACCAAAGAAGCTAGAATTTATTTCCTATTACTTTTCCATTAATTTTCCGATCGTTCCTATGGCAGCTATATGATATAGTCGTCCGATTTTGATTAAATTAAAATTGAAATTCGGAAATATTTAAAAAGAGTCATATCCTAGAGTAGAAGATAATACAATAAAAACCAAAGAAGCTAGAATTTATTTCCTATTACTTTTCCATTAATTTTCCGATCGTTCCTATGGCAGCTATATGATATAGTCGTCCGATTTTGATTAAATTAAAATTGAAGTTCGGAAATATTTAAAAAGAGTCATATCCTAGAGTAGAAGATAATACAATAAAAACCAAAGAAGCTAGAATTTATTTCCTATTACTTTTCCATTAATTTTCCGATCGTTTCTATGGCAGCTATATGATATAGTAGTCCGATTTTTTAAATAATTAGTTCGAAATTCAGAAATATTTAAAAAATAACATCCCCAAAAGTAGAAGGTAATATTTCAAAAAACACCGAAGCTGGAATTTTTTAAAGTTTTTTTTTCCGATTGTTCCTATGGGAGCTATAAGATATAGTTGTCCGATCCGGTCGGCTCCGACATATATACTACCTGCAATAGAAAGAAGACTTTTGCGAAAGTTTTGTCCCGATAGCTCAAAAACTGAGAGACTAGTTTGCGTAGAAACAGACAGACGGACGGACAGACGGACAGACGGACATGGCTAGATCGACTCGTCTTGTGATGCTGATCAAGAATATATATACTTTATGGGGTCGGAAACGTCTCCTTCACTGCGTTGCAAACTTCTGACTGAAATCATAATACCCTCTGCAAGGGTATAAAAATAAAACCAATTTTTTTAGTGGATAAGTTTTGAGAAAATTGAGTGTCTCAACTTACAGACCGTCTCAACCTACAGACCTCTCCCCTATAGATTTACTTTGTGTTCGTTTATTTTGCATAAATTGCTTATTCATATTTGTGAATGCGGCGTAGATTCTACAGTGGATCACATTAATATTCGGTTTTTTGTTTTTTAACTTCAAACGTGAATAAAAGCTTTGTAAATAAAAAAATAAATAACATAATAATGCAGAAATAAAGCTTATTTTATTAGCTTTTCATTGATATATATATATATTAATACTTTATTTTTAATTTTAAAGAGATACATGCATAAACAAAAAACAACCCGAATATTGAGGCCACATTAATATTCGGTTTTTCCTTTTTATACCCTTGCAGAGGGTATTATGATTTCAGTCAGAAGTTTGCAACGCAGTGAAGGAAACGTTTCCGACCCCATAAAGTATATATATTCTTGATCAGCATCACTAGACGAGTCGACCTAGCCATGTCCGTCTGTCCGTCTGTCCGTCTGTCTGTTTCTACGCAAACTAGTCTCTCAGTTTTTGAGCTATCGGGATGAAACTTTCCCAAAAGTCTTCTTTCTATTGCAGGTAGTATATATGTCGGAACCAACCGGATCGGACAACTATATCTTATAGCTCCCATAGGAAGGATCGGAAAAGAAAACGTTAACAAAATTCTAGTTTCGGTGTTTTTTGAAATATTACCTTCTACTTTTGGGGATGTTATTTTTTAAATATTTCTGATTTTCAAATTAAATATTTAAAAAATCGGACTACTATATCATATAGCTGCCATAGGAACGATCGGTAAATTAATGGAAAAGTAATAGGAAATAAATTCTAGCTTCTTTGGTTTTTATTGTATAATCTTCTACTCTAGGATATGACTCTTTTTAAATATTTCCGAATTTCAATTTTAATTTGATCAAAATCGGACGACTATATCATATAGCTGCCATAGGAACGATCGGAAAATTAATGAGAAATATTAGAAAATTGAACATTTTTGCGATTTGTTAATTAATAGAAATGATCTGCAAGGGTATATAAGCTTCGGCTGGCCGAAGCTAGCTTCCTTTCTTGTTGTACTAAAAATCTCAAAATTTATTTAGGAAATAAACTTAATTTGACATTTAAAATGCTTGTCATTATTGCCTATAAGGTCGTTTAAATGTTTAGGCACTTTTATAATTTTTTTTTTGCATATTCTGGACCAGTTTTACCTACGTAAAAAAAGGATGTGCGTGATATAGTTAAAAAAATTAGCAAAGGTACAAAAAATTCTCGATTTTTTTGTTGAAATGGACGGTCAAGATCTTCGCCTACCACTAGGAATCTGTTTCAGCGCAATCCATGCATCCCACCAAAAGAAATGTATGGGTAGAAAAGCAGATTCTGCGTAGGAACTCCTAGAATCTGCATGCAAAATGTCAATCTTCTAGCTCTTATAGTTTCCGAGATCTCAGCGTTCATACGGACAAGGCTATATCGACTCGGCTATTGACCCTGATAAAGTATATATATAATTTATAGGGTCGGAAACGCTTCCTTTTCCCTGTTACATACTTTTGCACGAATACAATATACCCTTTTACTCTACGAGTAACGGGTATAAAAACGTCCGTTTCCCCAGAATCTACTTACCAGGCGCTCGGTAGTCAGGTCGAAGAGCTTGGGTCTCAGAATCGCCGGTGCAAAGAAGCACAGGAAGATGAAGCCGGACACCACGGAGTATCGCACCTCTCGATTGCTGGGGAAATGCTTACCCGCACACTTTGCGATCGCCTCAAAAACCCGCTCCACATAGCCTCTGTGCGTCATGGAGCGGGGCTGCAGGTAATACCAGGCCGATGGGGAAACCGCCTGCTGCTCCTGCTTATTGCGCATTGGAAGCCGCACTTCGCCGAGGAATACTTTATCGGACATCGCTTCATGGGCATCGTGCCAAATGCTCACCACTATCTCCACCAGATCCGCTCCGCCCTGCGGGGGTATGGCGTAGCCCTTGTTGGCCGGGGATTCCAGGGAACCGGTGCTCTTATTACTCGCTGTGGTGTTTGTGCTGCCCGCTTCGGCATCGATATGGAGATCAAAGTACATGGCCTCGTCGAACTCCGGATCAATGGTCTTCTTGCGCTGCTTGGTCCGTCGCGTCACCTGCTGCTTGTTGCTGTAGTGGGCGGTGCAGACCACAAAAGGATCGCAGGTGCCCTGCTTCTTGGCGAGATCCACACAGGCTGGCACTTTGATGGTCACGCCAACGAATCTCCCGTGTAACTTCCAAGGAAGAGGCCGCCGCCCGCTGAATGTTGCACAGTTCGCTATTCTCCTTGTAATCGTTCAGATGCGCCCGCTGCTGGTTGCTGTGGTGGCTGTTGTGGTGGTGCGGCAGGTGCTGGTGGTGCGGCAGTGTGTGCTGGTCCAGATCGATGCTCTTCGAAAGAGACTGCGTCTGTTGGGCTTCCGCAAACGACACCTCCACATCGGCCATGCCCTGAAAAATTTATATGGTAAATATTTAACGTACTAAATGGTAATGATAAAGATTATAGTGCATGTACATCTAATAACTTTTATATTCACAATTTATCAAACTTAACGACTAAACTCCCTGACACACAAAAAAATTTGCTTGGTAAAACTAACCAATATAGTTCAGTAATTATAAACAAGAAAGGAAGCTAGCTTCGGCCAGCCGACGCCTATATATACATATATATATATATATATAACCTATAGGTTACTTTTAACTCCCTTGTATTGGTTTTGCCATTTGTTCCATTAAGGGCCGGTTTCTCGAGTGCCGGCTAACATTTCTCGAACAGATAAAGTCCCTGCTAAGGCATTTTGACTTTCTCGAGCATCAATGTGAGAGCTAACTTTGACAGGGACTCGGAGTCCCTGTTAAGCGTTTTCGGCTCGATAGAATGACAGCTGATTTCTTAAAGCCAACTATGAAGAAGAAACGAAATTACAGCTGACTTTTCCTTAGAATTATACCCAAACAGCTGATGAAATAATCGAAGCAGGCCATTTTTCGCGCTTTACAATACAATTCTGTGCGTTAACAGCACTCTGTAATTGTTTCTCGTTCAGATAAATTAAAGCAGTCGAGAAAGCGTATTTGCTTTTATAGCAAATCCGGGGACTTTGACAGGGACTCGAGAAACCGGCCCTAAGTTGTTAAATATGTACAATCGATCAAAAGTGTGGCCGACTTGATGCAGTGAAAAGAGAAAATCAAATCAAATCGAATGCTGAAATAAAAAAATAAAAGTCTTCAGCCGAGGCTGGGAAAATGATAAATGCGAAATGAAAACAACGCAAAATGTATGTTTTTTCGAGCATAGTTACTTTTTTTTTATCTACACGCATAATTCGTATATATAGGGGAGAGGTCTGTAGGTTGGTACACCTTTTGCTTTTAATCTGCCATTTCGACATTCACTTATGAAACTTTACGCATTTGGTACTGATCGAAAGGTTATTCTATTAGCCTAATTAAAAACAAAAAAAAATATTTTTTTCCCTTAGGGAAAACTGAAAAATTATTTTTTTTGAAAAGTCCCACAAAACCGACATTTTGAAAAAGAGGTCTGTAAGTTGAGACACTTTAAAAAGTCAATAATACTCACACAAAAAGTACTCCAAGCTATAAGGAACTATTTATTTATGTTAATTTAATCAATTTTAGTTCGTCCTAAATTATTTCCCATCCATTTTTTAAGAACTTAGACCAAATAACAATTAAAATCAAAAGGCTCTTTGAACATTCACTTTTCCCATAATATCAAAGAAATGTACTAGGCAGAAAGCGACCTCTGTTGGCCTAAGGCCTTTTTGTATGAAAAACGGGTGTCTCAACTTACACGCTCAAAGTGTCTTAACTTACACAAAATGGGATGTTTAAGCTGATTCTATTTTTTAATTAGTTTACAGTTAATATACTAATGTTTTAAATCTCTTACCAAGTTAATTTAAGGACGTTATTAATTTTAAATGGAATTTTGAAAAAAGTTGACAACTTTTTTGGTGAAAAATGGTACACGACTCTCACAGCTTTAATCTGGCTAGAGCCTGGCTTATAATGTTTTCCCCAAAAGTTTTGTCACTAAAAAGGACCAAAAAAAATAAAACCAATTTTTTTAGTGGATAAGTTTTGAGAAAATTGAGCGTCTCAACTTACAGACCGTCTCAACCTACAGACCTCTCCCATATAGATTTACTTTGTGTTCGTTTATTTTGCATAAATTGCGTATTCATATTTGTGAATGCGGCGTAGATTCTACAGTGGATCACATTAATATTCGGTTTTTTGTTTTTTAACTTCAAACGTGAATAAAAGCTTTGTAAATAAAAAAATAAATAACATAATAATGCAGAAATAAAGCTTATTTAATTACCTTTTCTTTGATATATATATATTAATACTTTATTTTTAATTTTAAAGAGATACATGCATAAACAAAAAACAACCCGAATTTTGAGGCCACATTAATATTCGGTTTTACCTTTTTGTACTAAAAATCTCAAAATTTATTTAGGAAATAAACTTAATTTGACATTTAAAATGCTAGTCATTATTGCCTATAAGGTCGTTTAAATGTTTAGGCACTTTTTAAAATTTTTTTTTTTGCATATTCTGGACCAGTTTTACCTACGTAAAAAAAGGATGTGCGTGATATAGTTAAGAAAATTAGCAAAGGTACAAAAAATTCTCTAGAAGATGAAAACGATCGTCCACGATATCGCATTCGGATCGCCGAAGTCACCCCCGTCGGGAAGAACTGTTCCACTACGGCGACACTTCCCGAAGTCACTTCTGAGTGACTCCTAGAAGTGTCGCGGAAGTCACTTCCAGAAGTGACTTCGGAGACGCTTTTAGAAGTGTCGCCGTAGTGGAACATTTCTTCCCGACGGGGGTGACTTCGGCGATCCGAATGCAATATCGCGGAAGTTACTTCCAGAAGTGACTTAGGCGACACTTCTAAAAGTGCCGCCTTAGTGGAACAGTTCTTCCCGACGGGGGTGACTTCGGCGATCCGAATGCGATATCGTGCAAGTCACTTGTAGAAGTGTCGCCGAAGTCACTTCTGGAAGTTAGTCAGAAGACACTTGTAGACGATACCTAGAAGACCCTTTCCCAATTGGAAAATATGTTTTTTGTGCTCATTCTTCATGTTTATTCTTTATTATACCTGTTACTCGTAGAGTAAAAGGGTATATTAGATTCGTGCAAAAGTATGTAACAGCTAGAAGGAAGCGTTTCCGACCCTATAAACTATATATATTCTTGATCGGGATCACTAGCCGAGTCGATCTAGCCATGTCCGTCTGTCCGTCTGTCTGTCCGTCTGTCTGTCCGTCTGTCTGTCCGTCTGTCTGTCCGTCTGTCTGTCTGTCTGTATGAACGCTGAGATCTCGGAAACTATAAAAGCTAGAAGATTGACATTTTGCATGCAGATTCTAGGAGTTCCTACGCAGCGCAAGTTTGTTTCAAAGGGTGCCACGCCCCCTCTAACGCCCACAATCGCTTATATACGATTTTAAAAATTTCAATATTTTGGAAAAGTAAAAATGCAGTTTTATTGTGTTTATCAATACCTATCGAAATGTAGAAGAAATTTTTTAAATCGGACCATTCGTTAAAAAGTTACGGCGGATCAAAGTTTTTCTCCATCTCTTTCGCACTCCCCTTAGCTGAGTAACGGGTATCTGATAGTCGGGGCACCCGACTATAGCGTTCTCTCTTGTTTATTTATTGAAATATATAGTTACAAAAGCATTGCGGCATGTAAGCACGGTCCGTAAGCTTGTTGGAAATGGTGTTGTATTATTTTATCAAATAAAAACACCTCTTAACGAGGTAAAAAACTAGTGACGACCGCACCTTCAACATACAAAAGTTCAGATATCAACATTTGTGACGAAAAATTATTACACTCGTCATTAAAAAGACTTTCTAATCTTTTCTCATTCGTCACGCTGCAATAGAAAATGCCTGTAAAGGGAAAAAGGCTGGAATAGTTTGCTAGGGCGGGCCGAATGAGAAAAGATTAGAAAGTCTATTGAATGACGAGTGTAATAATTTTTCGTCACAAATGTTGATATCTGAACTTTTGTATGTTGAAGGTGCGGTCGTCACTAGTTTTTTACCTCGTTAAGAGGTGTTTTTATTTGATATACTTAGTCTAGGAATAATGAATATTCGAAAATATACCAAATTCTTGACTTTATTACTCACCGAAAAGGTGAGGCAGGGCTCACCGGTTAGGACCCTCCCGATCAGAGTCAGTGAGAGCCGCCATTACGGCGGCCAGCCTGGCCAGCTTCTGACTCTGCCCCCCCTCCACTCTTCGAAATGCTGATCGAAAATCTCGAATAAATTCGAGGGGGGGGTCGGTCGGGTCCCACCGAAGGTACACCCACCTGGGCAGGCGTAAGTTACGCGCCGGTGCTGGGTCCACCGGCCCGGCTGGGGCCGCCGGAGCGTCCCCAGCCTCCGGCGCGTCCCCAGCCACCGGCGCGTCCCCAGCCCCCGGCGCGTCCTCATTTTCCGGCGCAGCCTCCACCGGCCGGGCAGGGGTCCTTAGCCTAAAATAATACAAATAAAAATAATAATATCAATAAATAAACAAGAAGGCCATCCGAAGCTTATATACACTTTCAGTCCCGTTACTCGTAGAGTAAAAGGGTATATTGTATTCGTGCAAAAGTATGTAACAGCTAGAAGGAAGCGTTTCCGACCCCATAAAATATATATATTCTTGATCAGGGTCACTAGCCGAGTCAATCTAGCTATGTCCGTCAGTCCGTCTGTCTGTCTGTCTGTCCGTCTGTATGAACGCTGAGATCTCGGAAACTACAAAAGCTACAAGGTTGAGATTTTCCACACATATTCTGGGCTTCCTACGCAGCGCAAGTTCATTTCAGACGAGCGCCACGCCCCCTCTAACGCCCACAATCGCCCACAATTTTGTTGTGTATATTTATACCTATCGAAATGTAGAAGACATTTTTCAAATCGGACCATTCATTAAAAAGTTATACGAAATCAAAGAAATGTTATATATCCATCGCCCTCGCACTCCCTTTAGCCGAGTGACGGGTATTAGATAGTCGGGACACGAACCCGACTATAGCGTTCTCTCTTGTTCCTACTAAATTGAAAATTACAAAATATTTAATTTTGTATTACTTTGGCATTAATTGTTCTATCCTTCTTATGCACACTGGTCCCAATGCCCAATATTCTTGCATAAACTAGAAAAATGAAGCTACAGACTTGAAACTTGGCACACTATATAGTTATTATATATGCAAAATCTGGTAAGTTGTGAACCGATTTTTATAAACGATACATCATTTTGTCGGTTGAATAATGCACCTTCAGATCAACGAAAGAAACATTAAAAAATAATTATACCCGTTACTCGCAGAGTAAAAGGGTATATTAGATTCGTGCAAAAGTATGTAACAGCTAGAAGGAAGCGTTTCCGACCCCATAAAGTATATATATTCTTGATCAGGGGCACTAGCCGAGTCGATCTAGCCATGTCCGTCTGTCCGTCTGTATGAACGCTGAGATCTCAGAAACTACAAAAGCTAGAAGGTTGAGATTTCCCACACATATTCTTTGGCTTCCTACGCAGCGCAAGTTTATTTTAGCCGAGCGCCACGCCCCCTCTAACGCCCACAATCGCCCACTAACGATTTTAAAATGGGTTCTGCGCCCACATCTTTAAAGATTTCCGAGAAGTATAAATGCAATTTTGTTGTACATTTATACCTATCGAAATGTAGAATTTTTTATTTTTCAAATCGGACCATTCATTAAAAAGTTATACGCAATCAAAATTTATATATCTATCTCCCTCGCACTCCTTTTAGCTGAGTTACGATTATTAGTCGGGACACCAAACCGAGTACAGCGTTCGAGCTCCCTTAAGCAGAGTGATGGGTATTAGATAGTCGGGACACCAACCCGGCATTATGTATAAGTAAAAGCAAAAAAAACGACGAAGTTAACCCATTTTATTAATTTTTTTTGACTGTTTATTTTATGAAAGTAGGTGTCCGATTATGCGATGGAGCCACTATATGTAGGAAAACCAGAAGAGCAAATAGGACGACAAGCACGTAGTGGTCGGCGTTAAAGTTCAAAGAGAGTCAGTCGGTGTCAAGATCTCGTTCATACCAGACACAAATATCATTGCCTGCGCATCGTGAAATACCCTTATTTAAAACCACTATTAAACTTGTAATCGCTAGCCTAAATATCAATAATACATATAATAAACAGTTTTTACATCGTCTCAAGAGTGTGTGTATCCAAGTCATCTTCATCATTATTTTTTTATTTCAGCATCAACATAAGCAACAAAGTTCTTAGCCCTCTTTTTCAAAGGATCCTCAATGTTTTGCTTTAAGTTTCCAATTCGATGCTGCAACACAAAAATGTAAACGCTTTCGGTTTCCCGTCCATGTGCCAGCCAAAACTCTACACACAAAGAAATTTGCTTGGTAAAATTGACAAAGATAGTTACGCAACTATTAAAATAGTTACGTGTATTTCGTTTTTGCTTTGGGTGTGTGTCTTTGCTAATTGTGTGTATTTTGTTTTTGTGGAATAACTATTTAATTAGTAGAATTGACAATTTTGCTGGTTGGGGCCTGTTTGACAATTATTACAGTTGATTTTACCAAGTTTTTTTTGTGCTTAGCATTTCTGCATAGCTTAGGATCGGAGAACGGTCACTACAACAAGACAGAGAAGCGAAAACGTTGTTAAAACCACGCTAACCCAAAAATATAAAATAAAAGTGAAAATGACAAATAAAACTAAATAAGAACTACGGTTACAACTTCAGAAGTGGGATAGACACCTTTTAAACATCCGCCTAGATATACATTTTGGTTATCCAAGAACACACAAGTTTTTTTTTCCTAATAAGTACGCACTAGCGTACGATGCCATTTTGAAATGGACAAATCGAAAATTGTGGAGTGGCTACAAGCCAATGAAATTGTGTTCCCAACAAGTGCAACATTAAGACAACTGCTTTGGATGCCGGTTGCCAAGAGGCGGCCTGATATCCCGGAAAACACATTCGAGGAAGAAGACACCAAAATTGATTGAAATTTTTCTTAAGTCAAGAAAGTTTTTCTTAAATCAAGGAAGTTTTTCTTAAATGTAGAATATGGTAATGGTACGAAAATAATAAAATATTTTGGCAACGCCTTTTCTAAAAATTAGTGCCATCACCCTAAAATTAAGCCAACCCTAAATAATAGAAACATTTTTTAAGTAAAAAGTTTTTCTAAAAAATAGAAATATTTGTTTTCACATGCTCTGGCACACCAAAATGTTAAATTCCAAAACTTGTCAGCTGCCGGGCGGCTGTACTGGTAGCGCAGACAGTTAAAGCGCTTGGTTAGAAATCGAATCGACGCAGGTTCGAGTCCCAGAGCAAACTTTTTTAATGTTTTTTTATTCTTTTTTTGTATTTATTTATTTTACTTTTTTTAATTCTGTTTTTAATTGACGGCAAGCGGTAAACCGATAAATTGTGTTAGCATAAATATATACATATGTATATACGTATGTAAATAAGTAAAACGCGAATGGTCAAAATTATGCAATTAGTATTCAAATGAGTTGTCCGCTTCACCCTTTACATACAATGCTCGGTTTTCCACAGCAAATTTAAGTGCTACAATGGCCCAGTATGTACGACGGACAAGTAAAAATTTAAGTTTTTTTCACACTAAAGTCAAGGAAATCTCCCTATTTTTGTCTTCAAGACAAGCTCGCCCTAAATTTTAGGGTAAAATTTTCCTATATTTTTCTTTTTATACCCGTTACTCGTAGAGTAAAAGGGTATACTAGATTCGTGCAAAAGTATGTAACAGCTAGAAGGAAGCGTTTCCGACCCCATAAAGTATATATATTCTTGATCAGGGTCACTAGCCGAGTCGATCTAGCCATGTCCGTCTGTCCGTCTGTCTGTCTGTCCGTCTGTATGAACGCTGAGATCTCAGAAACTACAAAAGCTAGAAGGTTGAGATTTCCCACACATATTCTTTGGCTTCCTACGCAGCGCAAGTTTATTTTAGCCGAGCGCCCCGCCCCCTCTAACGCCCACTAACGATTTTAAAATGGGTCCTGCGCCCACATCTTTAAAGATTTCCGAGAAGTATAAATGCAATTTTGTTGTGTATATTTATACCTATCGAAATGTAGAAGACATTTTTCAAATCGGACCATTCATTAAAAAGTTATACGCAATCAAAAATTATATATCTATCTCCCTCGCACTCCCTTTAGCTGAGTTACGATTATTAGACGGGACACCAACCCGACACAGCGTTCGCACTCCCTTTAGCTGAGTGACGGGTATTAGATAGTCGGGACAACAACCCGACTATAGCGTTCTCTCTTGTTTTCAAGGTAATTTTTCTAAAATTTAGGGTAATTTTACAAAATTTAAGGGTAAAAAATTCTTAAAAGTAGGAAATTTTCCTAAAAAATAGAAATTAAAAACAAAACAAAACAAGAGAGAACGCTTTAGTCGGGTTGGTGTCCCGACTATCTAATACCCGTCACTCAGCTTAAGGGACTGCGAACGCTGTACTCGGGTTGGTGTCCCGACTAATAATCGTAACTCAGCTAAAGGGAGTGCGAGGGAGATAGATATATAAATTTTGATTGCGTATAGCTTTTTAATGAATGGTCCGATTTATACACAACAAAATTGCATTTATACTTTTCGGAAATCTTTAAATATGTTTTAAAATCGTTAGTGGGCGATTGTGGGCGTTAGAGGGGGCGTGGCGCTCGGCTAAAATAAACTTGCGCTGCGTAGGAAGCCAAAGAATATGTGTGGGAAATCTCAACCTTCTAGCTCTTGTAGTTTCTGAGATATCAGCGTTCATACAGACGGACAGACAGACAGACGGACATGGCTAGATCGACTCGGCTAGTGCCCCTGATCAAGAATATATATACTTTATGGGGTCGGAAACGCTTCCTTCTAGCTGTTACATACTTTTGCACGAATCTAATATACCCTTTTACTCTACGAGTAACGGGTATAAAAACATGTTCAATCATGATTTATTTTTGTATATACGTTTATATTATGTACTCCTCCCTATGTATGTACATATGCAAGCTTTGTATATTGTGAATGTTAAAGGTTATGTATCACTATGGACGGAAGTCCATGTAGTGACGAAGCGCACCAGGAGAGTGTGCGAAGGCGACTACTATTACATATATAGCCGCAAAATTGAAAAAATACCCGTC